AGCGTTGGAGAGCGGATCTCTTTCAGTCCCCACTAATCGCATTGAGCAACTCTCTCTCTGTTTCGCGCGCGCCCACTGCCCCCTCTCTTTCTCTCCACTCTGTATCTGCTGATCCCTCTGCACAGTCCAGAAGAGAGCTCTCTTTGTGCCGGTGCTGGCAGGCAAACAGAAGCAGAGAGATGGATATGGCTGAGAGTGACCTGATTCTGCCTCAGTGCCTGGCCTCTGTCCAAATACAGAGACTCTGCTCTCCTGTCCCTCTGTCTTTAGGGAGGAACCCTCCGTCTTTCTCCTCTGTTGCTACGCTGCAGGACGCTGGCTGCAATACCCACAAGACCTGAGCAAGAATTAAATTTGTCGTTTCAAGGCATTTGGGTTGTTAGTCACTGTTAATAACTGAACAGTTCGCACACATATTCAGATGTGTACAGCTATATCTGTACCAGTAATAATCTTACATCTACAGCATCCAGCGATGGAGGAGTTTGATGTTTTTCCTTACTTTTTCACTTCAATTTGTTCATAGAAATTGAATGTGAGAACAGTCAGCATTGATCTAATATTGGATGCATTGAAAGCCATCTGTTAGCTTAAATAAATGGCCAAATAATCTTATTGAAGAACAGCAGTCCTTTGTGGTGCGTGCAGTAAATCTGTGAGCAGTCAGAACCATTTGTAAATTTGCTCTTATCTTTGAACATTTTGTTCTACTACAATTCAAAATTTGTGTTCATGCACGTAAATCAAATCAATGCATACAAGCGTCCCATGAGTAAGATCCTTGGAAAATAAAGACAGAAAACGAAGATAAAAAAACATCCTCAAGGTCTACACACAGTCAGTGTCTGCCAGTGGTTGACAACCTGCAAAGCACTGGCCATCGGACATTCAACAGACATGCTTGAGATAGGAAAGGCAGTGAAAAATGGAAACCCTTTGCGTTTGAAAATGCATTAATGAAATGGGTTGGGAGAACGAAAAGAGGCATAAAACATGATGGAAGCTGTGACAGCAGTGTCTCATTGGCAGACAATGTCAAGGGCTACATTGATATTATTTGGTATTCTGACTAGACACGTCTTTGGCATCACAGCTACAAATGTCATGTTATGGTGGTGGCGTAATGAAAATGTGTCTGCTTCCTGAAAGGCCTGACAGACAAAGTATATTTCATTAGATTGCAGAATGTGGGACAGAGATGGCAGCTGTGATTGGCAACCAGTAGAAATAATACAGCATGTGTCAGTGACAAGAGATGAAAATACACACATTTTCACACATATAAAAGCATCCTCTTTTTGCACATGCATCACCCCGCACTTATGCAGTCACACACAAATGTGTTGTCAGAAATTCGGAGATAATGTGAAGTGATTTTTAATGACGAAAACCACTTTTGCTCTTTGGGATAAGTAATCAATCTTGGGGGAAATGGCTGCACCTTTTATTATCTTTTGAGGCTGCATTCAATCATGGAGGCTCCAAAAGCTACAAAGCACTCAGTTTTGCTTGTGATAGACCCTGTTAACCTTTGAACCCTGGGGCGATGAGGCTCCTTTGTAACTGATGGCAACATAGAGAGGATGTTTCTTGTCACACAAACAAGGACTTTTAAAAAAATGCACAGCGAAACACCTTTACTGATGACTAGAGAAAACATACAGTTAAGTGGACACTATGGAGCCCAGTATTGGCTTGTTTCTACTTCAGAACGGAGGAGTAATATTGCTGATTGTGAATTATTTTCTCGAGGGAAGAGGTAGCAGCTGTTCCATTCAGTGTGACACCAAAAGTCAACATAGTTATGTGACTTTACGTGACTTTACGTAACTACACAAAGTAACTAATTTTACTTAACTTACATCCCGTACTTAGTTATTTTAACCGAAATCTTTTCCTAAACTTGATCAAGTACTATTTTGTTCTCTCAACTGAACCAAGCCTTTTTGTTCCCTAAACAAACTGCAGCTGTTTCAAAACGAAACTGCGACCATTCATAATAGTCTTTGTATTGGCATTGTTTTAGTGTTGCCAGCAGGTAATGTTAACACATTTCGTACTCACCACCACATGATGCATTGTTAAGAAGTTGTGTTCATTACATGTATTTCTGTTAGACTGTGTTGTCTGTTAACGGAAATGCTTATTAGTTTCAGTCATAATTTTGTCATTTTTATCCTTCAGAGTTTTAGACCAGTTTTAGTCGACAACTCAAAATGTTCTAGTCCAGTTTTAGATGATAAAAAGTCATTACGTTGTGGTCAACTTTTAGTGAAAATGTTCTCTATCTTTGAAACAATTCAATTAAGCTAATACAGATGTCTGACTTTGGAATAAAGGTGATGGTTGTATCAAGTGTTCAAATTTGAAAAGCAGCATTTCACTCTCATTTCACTAATATCCAGATTCCTTGCCTTGGTTAGATATACCACCTAAATTATAAATAAATTGTGTCCATAGATCTATTCCCTTTTTCTGACCAAACCCTTTTAGTGTTGACGCCATCATTTTGTTGTCATTAACTTGCTGTCGGTTTGGAACCTCATCACCTGTATGGCTGGGATTCTGGGACTCTGCACACATCCCTCAACCAATTCAACCAATGACATTGCTTACGTTTTGAAAGACAGACAAGACGCACAATTGGGAGGAAATATTATGAATGTCCATTAGCACACCACTAACATTTTGGTCTTGTCTTGTCAACAAAAAGAAAAATTTTGTCGTAGTTTTTATTATCAAAGATCTATTTTTAGCTCGTCTACATCTGGTCTTCGTCATGAAAAATATGTCTTTAGCGAACATTTCTTGTTAACAAAAATTGACACTGCAAACTGGAGTGATATTTCACTGTGGTCTCACAGAGTGACCCTGGGTCTCATCAGAGCACCATTAATCCAGCACTGAGCCACCACATGACTTGACGAGGACCTGTAGAGAGTGTATTCTTGACAACAGCTCATTCTGAAAAGGTCAGGGGAGGGAGGAGGGCAAGGAGCGAGTAGTGAATTGAAGGAAAAATTGTCCACTTGAATATGTTTTTTGTTGTGCATTCATCTTTGTTTACTCTCTTTGGCATCTCAGTCCTGCACTGACATCTATCATCTCTTCTACCTCCACCTGTCTTTGACTCCTTTCTATCCTCATCTCAACCCTCTAAACATGTGACACGATCTTGACCCAAATTCAGGTTATCTCTATTGATCATCCATATCATCTCATATAACACCGTGATATAGCCTGAAGCTCATTGTGGCCCGGACCAGCCATGTTCCATTTGTCTAATGAAAGCAGACCTCATATTTCCTCTGTGGCTCAGTCTGAGGCTTCTGATGATGATGATGGCCTTTAGTGAAAGGTTGTGAGGAGACACTAGGTGCTCGCAAGATTGATCGAAAGCCCAGGGGGTGCACTTCCAGGAGGAAAAACAGAAAATAAGACATAAACTAAAAGACCCTCTGCCCCCCAGAGCACCCCACCTCTGTTGCTCAAACCACGAAGCAGCTGCTGATTTGAAATGGCTCGATAGGTTTTTAATCAAATGAAAGCCAAGATTGTGTCGGTTCATAGTCACCTTTTGTTTTGGAGGAAGGATAATCCTGTGTAAGGCCCAGGTAAATTGCAGTAAGTTAAAAGTTATATCGTCTAATGTTTTGCTTTACCTGACATGTTCCTTTTGTTGTTAAACATTAATTTAATTTCAGCTAACCTTGTGTTGGGCCTTTAATTAGCTATTATCAACCGGTGTGTGCGTAATCATTCATATCAGACCAGTAGTTTTCATAATGTATTACAAGGACTTGATTTGAACATTCAAATCAGTCCGCAAGGAATTGCTTTTCATCAAGTCATTACAGCAGCGCTTGTATTTCATAACTCATACACACTATCTCCCCTTACTACTGACGATTTGTGTGCATTTTGAAAGAACTTAAAGGCAGTGTCAACTGCCAAGGCCTCTCTCCCCACAGCAACCCACCACATTGCTAAGCTATTAATCAAGAGCGATGCCTGCTTCAGTCCTAAACCCAGTGTTTCATATCCATCCATACTCGTAGGATAATGACCAATCCCCAGCACCATTATTCTCTTATCAAAACCCATAAGTCATTCTGCCCACAGTGACTGGTATGAATATCCCCCCCGGCTGGATAAAACACACGCATGCAAACACAAAATGTAGAGAGACACGATACGTGAAACACACCCATCTGTATTAAATAACAAAATCACAGCAGCATGTCCGCACAGAAAGCATAACAGATGAACCTCCATCAAGAGTTGGATTTCTCCCTCCTCTGATTCAGATTTCGATATAAATTTAGATGCATTGCAGCGATTTTGCCTCAGTGTGACGATGCAGCACTTCTTTTTTATTTCCCTCAGTTCACTTTGAATCATTTCACATTGAATATCTTGCCGCACTGGCATTTCTGCAGTTGCTGTAGCATTGGGTGGACGGTGGGGAATTGTGCCTGACAGAGCAGCCTCTGGCGCTATTACAGAGCTAGAGCCTGACTGCAGTCTTCTTCCATCTTCATCTCTCTCTCTCTTACTTCTTTCCACATTTGCTGTTTCTTGCATGTGGACCAGTAGACGCACACATGCATACAAATGCTCTCAGTCTCTCTCACATACAAACTGTTTCTCCTTTGTTGACCTCCCCCAGATCCATATCTGTCCCTTACTAAAATATACTCAGGCACAAAATATTGATTCTCATTTCATTAATCTCGAGTTCACTCTTCGCTGTTTATCAGACCAGATGTAGGTTTATATGTGGATAACCAAGCTCAATACTACTACCAGACTCTCTGCCTAACTCTCTACTTAAACCGCCCTACCTTAAAACCTTTGAGGCATACAGATTCATCCAAGAAGAAACCATTAGGTGCTGGCCTAAGCAGTTCCCTTCATGTTAAATTTCTCGTCAAAAACATTAAATTTATGATATTAAATCTGATGTATAATGTATTCTCTCTTCTTTTTCTTCACTGCAGCTCTTGACCATTGACGATGACTTTTGTGGCCTTGACATGAACGCGCCATTGGGTGTGTCCGAGATGGTGCGTGGCAAACCTCTCTTCTCTGACGCTGTTGACAAAATGACCTCCGTCATTGCGTACGTCTACAAGAACCACTCGCTGGTCTTCGTGGGCACAAAAAGCGGACGCGTCAAGAAGGTAAGGAGCAGTCATATAGGATTAAAGGTAGCAGAAATGGATGAATTGATGGAGGCAGAGATTTGGTTTCTCTCTGTCAGAATGTGGAGTAAGGACTGGGAATTGGGGACTACTGAATTGGAGGAAGGATAGTAGTAGTAAGGCAGATTGACTTTCAGGCAAATCAGCTGAGTCGGCTGTATATGTGGGGGGGGGGGGGAGAGCCCCCTGAGGGGGTTTTATTCCTAGAGCCAAGGCTATCTGGTATCTCTCAACATCCTCCTCATCCACTGCACCATATATCACACATACACTCGTATACACCCAGTATCAGGAGTATCCGCTGTACTTTTCCTTCACTTTGGACTTGTATAAAATCCAGAACCCTAGGGGCAGATTGTAGCACACATCAGCATGTTGCAGAACTTGCTAGACAGCACAGATCAGCATGTTGCAGAATCGATTAGACAAAGTTTCTTATCTGTTTCTTGAGGCAGTTTGAGGGATCAGAATAGGATGGAGTACATCATTTATTAAGTGATTTGCTTAACTGCATTCCAGTGTATCAGCACAGGAAACTATATAACTCACATTTGTTCTTCACAATGTACCACATTTCTGTCTAGTAATTGGTAATACAGTAACGGGGAATCTAGATTATTATTACATAATTAGTAATTTGATGGGCTCTGATGGCTTTAAAGGTCCTGAAAACCTTTGAGAATCTTTTTGTAGCTCCAAGTGTCGACCATAGTGTTTGTGAACATCTCTGACCATAACCGTCTCTCCCTTGAAAAACATGTCACACTCCGTGTGACAGCAAAGCCCTTGGCTAAACAAGATTTGTCTCCTCAGAGTTAAACAGCACTGGATAAGCTGGGTTTTGGCATGTTTGTTGCTTCCACCCTAGACTCCCCTCATGCCCCTGTGCCCTCCCCCGTGTGGCAGCCCCTTTTCTGGGCTAATGGGATGATGCACTGCTGCTAGGTGTGATAGAAGGGTGGCAGCTCCTGTGCTTTTACTCCCACTCTCTCGCACTGGCGCACACATATATCATAGGGCCATGACTGAGACTAATTCTGGGGCAGTGAGCCTCACAGGCCTGGGGAAAACAGCATTACACAGAGAGGAGGAAAGAGAAGGATGGAGTGACTGAGGGAGGCAGAGGAAGGCTGAGCTGGAGGGAGAGTTTGGACAGATGGACTATATTCCGAAATGATGCATGCCTTAAAGGGACAGAGAAAGTTTGTATGTGTATGGTTGAAGGAGAGAGATGAAAGACAGAGTGGAGAAAGTCAAACAAAGATGTGATTGAGGCCAATGTGGAGAGGTGTTTTTCTGCTGATACACAGGCAGACAGGAGTGCTGGTTTTTACATTGTTTGTTTTTGTTGATTGCGGCCCCCTGTCTGTGCTTGTTGTTTTTGTTCCACACAGGAGCAGAGTGGTTGAGGCAGCGGTTTTCCATGTTGTAAAACAATAACCAATACGTTGGCAGATGTTTCAAACAGGGAGAAATGTGTAATCATATTTAATACCTACTGCTCATCTGTGATGATGAGTGTGAGTTAGGAGGGAGAGATTTAGTGGCTCTGAGTTTTAAAAGCATTACAAGTTGTTTACAAGGTTTTATGAATATTGTTTTTGCTTCAGGATGTTAGAAACATTTTTTTTCCTGGTTATCTTGGTGTTTTTCTACGTCTTTCCGTTGGCCTCTCTCCAGACATCCCTCTCAAAGCCACATATTGGCACTTGAGAGAATCGTGTCTGCAGGATTTTGGCATTGTTCTCATTCAAACTCGACATGAATGAAGATCAGATTGTGCACATATGGTATATTCAGGCAAAGGAAGCTCCACAGAGACACACCAGCTTTGACAAAAGGTGATCAATATCCTGTGTCAACACAGACGTACACACAGCCCCATTACAACCCCATCCTCCCCTCCCATGTACATACTTCCCCTCCCCTGTCGTTAACTGTATACCATTAGATGACATCACAGGCAATAAAAGACAACAACAAGACAATAAAAGGTCTGAGCCTCAGTCCACCTCCTTCATCAGTGACTTTATAACCCCTCTGCTAATGGATGTTGATTTATATACACTCCTCCACCTTACTTGTTCCATCCCTCAACCCCCTCCTCCTCCTCCTCTCTCTCACTTGTTCTCTCACACACTATCTTTGAGTCTCTCTGTTTTTTTTCCCAGCGTTATTTATGTTCCTGTGACTAACACGTCACCCTGAATAAGTATAAGCATTACGGTAAAAGAGAGTGGATTGACTTTAATGCAACGGTGTTTGGGCGAGCTAAATGTTAGTGTTTACAGGCTCAGGTTTATGACATCATGAAGCTGAGCTGGGCAGGAAGCTGAGTGAATTAAATTCAATTTGCTTGTGAAATTGTTTTATGGAATGGGGGTGAGAGTAAAATTTCGCTAGTATAATGTGAGACCTGTGGACCAAGCTACAGACACGGATGTACTTCTATACTGATGATTAACATATTACATATTTGCATAATGCATTCCCTAGACCGTAAACCAAGCCTTAACTATCAGAGCTACATACTTAACCCCAACCTTTACCTCATCTTCAACCTAAACTAGTGATCAATAGGAGACAAGACAATATTTGAGATGGCAACAGAGACAGACGTGGGCGATGAGACTTCATGTTATGTGGGTTCCCCTGGAGGCTAGATGCAAGTGGTGATGTTGGAGTTAATTGTGTAGTTGTTCTGAAAGATGAACATAATGATGATTTTGTGGATGTGGGAAAGCATAGGTGACAGAAAATCTGGAAAGTAAAGTTGGCCCTGGAAGAAACAACAGAAATTCACCAATACAAAACACAGGGATGCACCAACTGTGAAATTCTGGGTCGATACCAATGCCAGTGTTTATTTGTTGTAGTTATTTATTTTGTTTTTGTTGTTATTGATTCCTATTTTTGTGCCAGGGAAACAAAGAAATCTTCATTATCAGAAAATAATGAAACTATTTAAAAGCCATTTAGCTCTTTGTGACACTATCTTTGAATGAGCACAAATGAAATCATACAAATTTATGAAACAACTTTTAAAATAAATTTCTTTAACATAAAACATTTTTTAAATAAATTTCAAAAGCCTTTTTACCATTTATATTAATTCCCTGTGTTTTATTTATTATAAATCTCTCCTGTATTTATTCAAGTTTCTCACCAAAAGCTAAATTTTACAAGAGACCATTTGAACACATTACCTCTGCCCATTACTAATTTTTATTCGATTCAGAGCTTGAATGCATTATTAAGTAACTTAATGCAACCTTCATCACCTTTAGTCCAGCCACCAGCTGCTAGCAGCTAACGTTACCTAGCTCTCCTGCTGACGATTCAGCACAGATTTGTAGTTCACAATGTTGCATTATCAGGGAGAAAATAAGGTGTGTGTCCTTACATGATGACAGTGACTGTGTCCTTTTGTCCTGAAGGCATCCTGGGGCGAGATCTCTGTTCACCAAAACATGCTCTTTATTGTCCCTGGGACGACCGGAAGACACTTGTCTGATACTCCGCTTTTTAGCCAGAGCAAAACTGATGTCACGCAATATTGGCCATCGGTGAATGTCAGCTTATTTGCTGGTAGGCAAGTGACATTCAGCATAGTGAATATCTGCCGATACTGACATTCTGCCGATAAATCACTACATCCTTAAAAAAAAAAAAACATGAGAAAAAGATCTTTTTAAACTAAACTTTCACCAAGGCTTTTTTTAATCTTAACTCCAAAATCAAGTCTTTACTCTCAAACAGTCCTTTGAAGAAGTTGGGACCAGCCAAAGTTCCTGACTTTGTTCTCATGGTCTTCCATTTTTAAATTCGTCCACATTGTACAAGACCACACACACACATACACTGCCCTTGCCTTAGATGTTTCTGATGCTGAGTGGCTATGTTGTGTAAAGTCCGTATTGACACAGTCTAAGCTGAATTTCATAACACCCTTCTGTCAGCATAAAACAGGCAGTGCTGTCGAATCAGTAGAATTCTGTACATGCCCACAGATACAGCCATGCTTGGCCTTTACTGTCTCACACAAGGCTTAAAACCCTCACATCACACAGGGCTTAAACGATCTGTACACCTGCATGCCTTCTCCTCACTCTTTTTGTTTCCACCTCACTCCTAGCTCCTTTGAATTGATAGGATGTCTCCTCTTCACTCTTCGCCACACTTCTTGCCTCTTTCTCCTCGTATTCTGAAGTCTCCCCTCCCTTTCTCCACCTCTGTTTGCCCTCTCCTTATAATTTCCCTCGTCCTTTTCCCTTCATCTCCCTCCCTCCCTGCGTCTATCTGTCCATGGCTAAGTGGAGTTGCAGTGAGAGCTCTTTGATGGCTACCTCCTGCCATTGGAAGTGAATGGACCATATGGCTTCTGTCAGCCTGTCTGTCGGTCAGTTTGTGTGTGCGTTGGTCTATGGCTTAAGGAGGAGATGGAGATGTGATGGAGATAAAAGGCTGAGGCTCGGTAAGGTTTAAACCCATTTACTGCAGGTCAGTGCGCAGCAGCAGGTCAAGGGGAAAGCCTTAACCCCCTGCGGGCTTGGGTTTAGTTTATGGTCATCTGGTCAGGCTGCACATTAGCATGAGAGGTACACAACTGTACGAACACATATGCATGATACTCACACACTGCACACGATTGCATGTATTGAGATAAGCACACATGCATGCATCAGTGAGCACTTACACCCACACAGCAGGCCACATACACACTGTTGGACAAAGGCTGGCCAGGTATCTCCATGGGGCCTTGGATGGAGAGGTGGACGATGGGCGAGAGGGAGGTGTGCAGGGAAGAAGTGGAGAGAAAAGGGAGCGAAGAGACGAGATTGAGGCCCACCTGCCGAGGTGCTAATGCATCTCCGCTCTGTCCGTCCCAATGGGGGAGCATTGGCGCTCAATACAATGAGCAGCTAACCTTGAACTTGACATAGACAAAGGCACAAAAATGAGCAAGGCAAGACATGGCA